CTAAACCCCAAACCCCAATCCCTAAAACCCCAACCAACCCCAAAGCCTGAAGCCACAAAACAGGAGGAAGAACGGCGAAAACCCGAGTTCATGTGCCGCCATGCAGGGTCCTCAAAGGGTTCTGATCTGTGTCTTCCAGAGTTCAGGGTGTCATAGAAAAAGTAGGCTAGTTGTTAATGGTGTGTTTCGCTCACAAAAGGCTGAATATAATAATTATAATAAAAACCGTGCTTCCGTTCACCCAGTTCGCTTCATCACATTTTATTATACTAATTGTACCTTTTGTTCCCCTACCATCGAATCTTAGGTGTAATCTTCTGTGTGCTTCCTTGGCATTCGTTCATCGTTTATTTCGGTTCTGTTCATATTATTACACTGGGTCTTGTGGTAACTCTTAGTTCTATTCAAGAGCTATTACCATATCGTAACATGAGAGCTTACGGAAGATCCAAATAACAGGAAAACATAAACTAGAATGTCATGCTATTTGTCTTAATATATTTGGGTGAAGTGGATAGAGGGTAAGAGCAACAGGCACAAGACACCCAATATTATTCCATTAAAAAGACACCAAATAGGATGGACATAACTGTGAGGAAGCATCGGAAGCAAATGTAGTTCCTGTAAAGGTAAATAAGATGAAAGCAGAACCCAGTTCAACACATGTGTAAGGTATTGTAAGGCTGTGTGTAGCGGTTCAGTTCGGGGATTGGGGCCTTTGAAGTTGTCTGTGCCGATTCCTCAGTGCATTCAGGGATTCTTCGGGATGGGTAGCTTCCTATCGCGGTTTCGGTTGCCTGTGCTCTGTTCCGTTTCTCGGTTTTGTCGGTGAGACCCTGAGTCTTAAGCATTTCTCGCCTCATGTCTCGCGTTGAGATTCGCAGTCGACCGCAGGAGCCCCCAGACAGAGCATCTCCGTCTGAAAAGCTCCCCACCCCGTACATGTACAGAAGATTTGCTGCACTTCATGGGCCCGTCTGTGCCAAACTCCAACCTGAACCCATGCTGCAGCATCTAAACCCGAAGCTCTCGGAGAAGCCCGGATCACAAACCGCTATGAACCTTAGATGCCTTTGACTCTTGGCTGCCACGTAAGGTCTAGAATCCCGACAGATTCCTGCACAAATGATCCTTTGAGGACCGGCCGATCCTGAGCGTTTGTCTCTCAGCGGACGGGAGGCCATGGTATGCTGTGACTTTTAGATGCCCAACCAAAACCCTAAGCCGAAGCCTGAAACTCTGCACCTTGCCTGGCTCCCTTCTAAGATGTGGTCTGTTGAGGATTAGGCTTCAGAGCAATATGGTGCAAGAAAGAGCTCCGCCTGCTGAGTTTGACTTGTTCAGATAGCACTGCCTCGTTAGCCGAAGCGGCCATCCCAACACAGGACAGGGATTACCACCATCCCTGTTCGTACGATCGTGATTGGCCATATTCGCTCAAGAGAGCCCTCTTTCGTAGAAGCCGAAACCCTCACTTCTGGCCAGGTACCTCTTCACTTGCTCCAAGGTGACTTGCTGGCATCATCGTTTTTTTTTTTTTTTCGGAATTTGCGGTTCCTTCTCGGATCCAGGGTCTTCACCTTGCAGGCAAAGCCTCAGGGTTGGTTTAGGGTTTAGGGTTTAGGGGTTTAGGGTTTAGGGTTTAGGGTTTAGGGCTTTGAAGCATCTAAAGAACCCTAAACCCGAAATCCTAGACGCTACACCGCACGTTGCAGGACGGCTACCTGATCTGCTGGTCCATGGAGAACAAGCTGCTGAAGGCGCTTGTCACCTTCGCAGGCGGGAGATCGTCTTTGCTGCGAGCCCATGATATAGATAAATGCATAAATAGATAAATAAATGAATAAATAAATAAATAAATAAATAAATATATACATATATATATATATATAATATGTATACATAGACCGTTAGGTCTGCAAGGGTTAGCAACGCTTGGGGTTTGCAGATTGGATTCCGGATGTTGGTGTTGCATGTCACAGGGCGACTCAAAGCTAGAGGAATTCTGAGCCTCACATCATACTCGTAACCCGCATAGAGCCTTGCAGAGTTTGGACTCCCAGCCAAAAGCGACAACTGCTGGTACCTAGGCGTAGACCTTGGGCTCAAAAGCTGAAGCCCTCATCCCTCAAGCCCTGAACCGAGTAGAAAAGCCCTAGGCTACCCTGATGCCGGTGTCCCTCAACTCCCCGCGTCCAGGGCACACGGGTGCCGTGTTCACCCTCGATGTGACGGCGGTGCCACCCCTGGCTTCCCACAGCTTTGTGGGTTTGGGGTTCAATATGTAGGGCCTGTAGGTCTTGGGTTTGCTCTCTTGTTGTTGCTATGATGAGCATGCTTCTTGTCAGGGTTCTCTGATGATGGTGGTGATGATGATGACAGTGGTAATGAAGAAGATGCCAATGGATGTGAGCTTGACTCTGGTGGTGGTGACGATCGGGAGAGATTGTGATTATGGCTGCTACCTGTGCGACGGGTGGTTTCTGTCCCATCCGTCGGAGCCATTGGCAAACCTACGTACCCTCGAAGAGTTGATGTTTGGGCACTATGTGAGCTCTGTGCCACGGCTACGGTCGAGCGGACCTGTGCTTTCTTGGGGGTGTTTCGCATGGGTGCTGACCCGAACCCGGGAAGCAATGTGCTGTCTCATGGAATCCCACCAGTTTCCACTGAAGGCGCCGACCTCAGCCCTAAACCCTAAACGCTAAACCCTAAACCTTAGACCCTAAACCCAAAACCCCTTTTTGAAAAGCTCCAGAGCAGACCAGGGCTTCCACCCTCCCAGACCTGAGAAGGCGGTTCGAATTGTGGAGCTTCGGGGGTTTAGGGTTTAGGGTTTCGGGCCTCTAGGACGACAAGGCATGTACTACATCGGGGTTCTATGCCATGTGCCTTTCGAGATGCCAGACACGTACCAAGACTCATGCCTAATCCTAAACCCTAAACCCTAAACCCTAAACCCTAAACCCTAAACCTGTTGATGCCTGGTGGCATCCATTGATTGTGCAGCATCGGCTTCTCCAGACATCATCTTGAAACCATGAAGCAAGCGAATGCGAATTCCGGGCTCTGTTTTCCAAACACGCAACACAAAGAGTACTTAGTCCTGAGTCATCCTGACTATAGTGTACAAAGGTGTCAGGCTGTTGTCTCAGAAAAAATATCACAGGAGCCTAGTGCTGGTACTGCTTGTGCTGTACATGTCGTGACCCAAGAGGCATGTGATTCCGCAGCCTTCCTCTTGAGGCGAGCGATGGCATCAGTCGGGGTCAGACCTGGGCTTCCGCTTCAGCACTCCTCCTCGTATCGCCGCTAGGGCTTATACGCATCTCACTTATCGTTGACTCCAAGCACTGATTGTACCCGAAGCTGCCGAGCGAGTGCACATATCCGCCCAGCGTAGTAGGACCTTCCCATTGAGGTCCTTGTGTCTCCACAACCATAAGAAATATCTCATTTGTCGCAGAGATGGAAACGTGGGATCGCCAATGGAAGGCGCGATCGACTCTCCTAGACGTCGCCCCAAGTCTAGCTTCAGACCACTGGTAGGCAATCCCCTCAGTCTTAGCGCTTCCCTCAGTTCCTCCACTCTCATCAGCATTGCCACGTCACTGCAGACCCTTATAGCTTCGCCTTCATGCTCTTGAACTTGTAACTGCTGTGCTCTCGGGCTCTGCTGCGCATAAGATGACGCTCGCGCAACAGAAGATTCCATTGCTCCTGTCGGTTGAGCTTCCGGACTCGCTAGAGGAGTTGGTAGGCTTGATACTGGGGTTGATGGGCTCCCCAGTTGTGTAGATAACCTTGCGGCTGGCGGGGACGGTGTTCTCGCTGGCCTTGTTGATCTTCTCCGGCTTATAGAGGTCGACGTTGTTGTAGATCGTGATGGGGGCTCCTGCTCTCGACGCGTGATCTCGTTTTCAATCGCCCGCGCTGTAGCATCCCGAAGTTTTTCCAACTTTCTCAGCTTACGAGCGGAAGCTCCTGGTGAGTACTCGAAGATGACTGCTGAACCCAGCCACTTCAGAAACTCATATGTTGCCACTACTCCAGCAATCATCAGCAGGCCCATCACGATCGCTGCAGTATCCCAATCCACACTGATAGTGTGAATAGGCTGCGTCTCAGCCGTCGCACTCGCTGATGTGATCATCAACATGCAGCACAACATCGCCACCATTGCCTTATTGCCTGACTCTGTAGTCGTGGAAGACGTCAACGGGGGCGCTTCATCCATCATCATCCACAGTCGTAGTAGATCTCGTAACCGCTGACTTGGGAGGGCCTTTGTTAGTAGGTCCGCAGGTTGTCGTAATCCTGGAACGTGCTCCGCTCTTAGCTGTCCTCCTGTTATGGCTTCCTGAAGCCATGCTGCCTTTATACGAAGGTGGCGAGTCCTCCAGCTTCCCGTTCCAGAGGAAATACACAAAGCACTCATAGAGTCTGAGCCCACCACCTTGTCATCCACTGACTCTGCTATATCCAATAACATCGCCTCGACCCCCAATAATGCCACACTTCCTTCTAGGATAGCAGTTAGTTCTGCTTCTGCCGTTGACAGTGCCGTGGTTGGCTGCCTGCTACTTCTCCACAGTATCGGGGTACCTCCATAGTAGATAACCCAACCCGACTGGCTCCGGCTAGAGGCCGGTGCGAATGCCGCATCCGGGTATAATGCGAGCTGACAGCCCTTCCAAGCCACTCTAAGGAGGTAGTCACGGGTCTTGTTGACGTACTTGAGGATCTTGTAGGCCATAGAAATCACCCGAGACGGCGCTCTGGTTGTTAGTGACGACAAAATACAGCATGCGTAGCTCAGGTCCGGTCTTGACCGCTGCGACAGCCATAGCAATTCACCTGTCATCTGCTGAGCCTTATGCGTCATCTCTGGGGTTGGCGCTGCGTCTGTGGACAGCACCTCATAGACTGCCTCGTCCTTGTTGAGCGGGATCTTTGAGACATCGGTATCTTTCATGTCATACGCCCTCATTAGCTCCTCCACATAGCCTCGCTGTCCCAATCGGATCTCCCCGTTCTTTAAGGACAACTCCATGCCAAGGAACTTCACCTCATTATCCTCCGTGAGTATAGATAGATCTGAGGTCTCCCACTCCTCCTGGACCATGGCCGCCAGATCTTGAAGAACTTCTTTAGGTCCAAGAATCAGGTAGTCATCAACGTATATTAAGATGATCGCGACCAAACTGCCTGACTGATCCTTGATCGACCACCACGAAGTGATAGTCCGCCCTCGTGACATGACCAGATTGTGTGGCGCCACCATACTCTGCATTCTCCTGTCCCGATATCGGGCCCAAAGCATCGGTGATTGCCGTAGGCCATATAGTGCTCGCACCAGCGCCCACAATTCTTGGCTGGTGATAAGCCCTAGCTCTTGTAATATACGGGGCGGCGTAGCGACGATCACCGGGTCGTCTGAGCTCTCTCCCAGTGGGGTCCTGATAAAAGCTGTCACAATATCCAGAACACCAACCCACCACGCATTTCTTGTGGCCACCACCAGGCTCGCTCGTACCGCCTCTGAAGGAGCAGATTCAGTGTATAGGGATTGTGCTTCTGCCTCCGCGAAGTTCCCGCAAATCACCAGTCGAGCCTTTCGGCGGTAAAACGTTTCCGGCTTGTTGACATCGGCCTTCGGGTTTGGCTTGACAGTAAAAACCAACTTCATTGGTAGACGCTGAGCGCGGGGATCGCGTAGCCAGCTTCTCCGCTCCTCCGTCCCCACACGCAATCTCTGTATGGCGACCTCGACGCTGCTCATCTCCTTGGTTATCGCATCTCGCCATTTTTCAATGCAGGCAAAAGCCTCCTTAGGGGAGACTGTATGAGTCACCTCCAGTGGGGCCTTGAGCTCCTGCAAGATCTCCTCTATATTGTACGTGTAGCTGACCTCCACCTTAGCCACCGTCGGGCCTCCTTCCGGCCCATCCACTTCTGAAGTGCCCACCTTGACTAACTCATTGTCCACCTCGATGAACATTTCCCATGGGTCCTCCTCGAAGTCGCGCGGCTCCTTCCAGTCTCTCTCGCCTTCATCCCGCTGGTGTGGAGCGATCGAAACCAACTTTGCCCTCACATCGTCTCCACTCATAAAGTACTCTGGCATCTGGGTCAAAGGCGGCTGAAAACCATGCGACTCCAAGTCCATGATCATGTTGGCTGACAACTTTCCCATACACTGCGGGGTATATGCAATGAGTACTACTCTTTCCCCTTTCCATGGCTGAACTTCATGGGCTCGTCGTGGATTGAGTCGTACGTGTTCGCGAGGTGGTAGTGGTAGAAGTTGACCATAGCGTCGCCTCCCCCTTTCATCTTCTCGCTCACATAGCTCCCCTTGCACTTTATCACCCCTTGCCAGCTCAACCCATAGTCCACCTCCTTGGCTGGGAATCGCAATGGGTAGGACGAAGTTCTCGGTAGCCTCATCATTGTTCACATCCTTATGAATTCCCAGCTTTGACGTCTTTGTGACCCACATAGCCGTGTACGTAGCTTCCGGAGTCACTTCCTGAATCATTTTGCTGAGAACCTGAGTCACCTCTGGGTAGTCGGTCTGACCACTTAGCGGTCCAACAACACCACCATGCCGATAAACCCCGAACTTCACGTCATCAAAGAAGTCCGAGAGCGCCAGCTCCTTCACCAAACGCTCGGCCTCTTCATAGGACCAGTTGTCCAGCAAAGCCTTAGACCTGTCCTTGGCATATTCACTGAGCTCTTTGTGACTTAACTGTAGTTTCCTCATTTCCACTTCATGTAGAGGTCGTTTTTCGGGAATCCTCCTCCTCGGCTTAGGTGGCTCGGCGACTACCAGCTCTTCTTTTGGAGGCCCAGGATCCACCAACCTTGGTCTCACATGGAAAGTGTGCAGGAACTTCTCCTTTTGTCCATCTCCGGGTGGAACATACACCACATGACCGTTCTCCAACAAGCTGCTGAGTCCAAC